GCTCAAACGTGAGTTGCAATGCCGTCCCGTCCCGCCTGTTCGCCGGATGGGTGTCTAGGCAGGAAAAGCATGCCTCGCAAGAACAGCAACAGGGTGGCGAACGTAAAGAAGAGGGCTCGTCGTCCCAAGGGGCGGCCGCCGGAGCGGGCGTGGGCGCAGACATTAGCGCAGATGAAAGCAGCAGCGGCAGCGGCGGCGCGGAGAAAGTCCCTTCGCACTCGGGGAGGCGAAACGTTTGTGCGCCTTCGAAACGGCGGCTTCAGTAACAGCTGCGGGCCCATCTGCTTGTTGCAACATGCGATGAGTGATAGCCTCCCGATTGCTACCATCGAGAGAGCCACCAATGGCGAGATCGCGTCTGAGGTACGAGGCGCCCTGCGGTACATTCGCGACATCACCGTCGACACCTCGCACGGCCACACCCTGAGTGTGCTCGACCCCGACGAGGAGCGTGAGGTTCACGGGTTCGAAGATCTGGTGGATTCCGCAGAGCGCGACATCCTTTCGAAGCCGATGTGGGACAAGATCATGCGCTGTCCGTACGGCTACTTCGATGGCAGGGCGATGATGATCGGGGCGGACGCTTTGGGTCTAGATGGTCTTCTGATAGTTCGGGTGGACAGCGCTGGATTTTTGGTGGCGATGGATGGGATGACGACCCCAGTTGCCGAAGCGAAGCATCTCGTCCTTTGGGACGGGTACGCTCACTTCGAAGCCCTTTTTCCTGACGAAGAGGTGTACCCGGTGAGTCCTGATTATTGGGAATGACAGCGAGTGGAGTGTACGAGTTTGTTGATTTCACGGGCAACAGGTATGTCGGGAATTTTCCTCATACTGTCTCCGTTTGTCCGAACAACTTTCCCATATCAGGTCTTCCCCGATCTCGGCGAGGAGTTCTTCTTCGACGGACACGCGCAGGCGGAGGAAATCGTTGATGTCGAGGAACTGCCCCCGGTGAGTCCTGTTTCACTAGGAACGGTTGGAGAGAGTGATGAGGGTGTGTGTGGGAGGTAGTTAATCGTGTTGGGGTTACAGAAATTCCCGGCATTTTTCAGACCGTTGTCTCCGTTGTTTTCAAACAATTGACAATAGGTGGCCGACATCGTCGACGAGTGGGATAAGTACCTCTCAACCAGTACAACCAGCACGCGTGGCGTAGACGAAAGCGTTGTCGCCACCAACAGCAACGCAGGTCTTGCTTCGCACGTGGTGGATCACGCGGGAGGACACGCCTCATCTTCGCCAGCAGGCATCCTATTCGCGTACGTGTTGCTTCAGAGCGCCGTGGTCTTCTGCCGCTTTGGGTTGGTTCGACACATTTTCGAAGCTTTGGGGTTCATGACGGTCCTCTCCCGCTAGATCGGATGCGTCGTTCGGGGATGCATGGTACGTGCCAGCTTGACTCTCTTCCAACCACTCACCTTCCCTTGTTGTTGTTTCGCCTTTGTCGACTGCACCTCGCCCCTATCTGCATGGGAGGCGTCTTTCGCGCACGTGTTTTCAACACGTTTTTGCTCACGTGACATTGTCACGCGCAAATTGATTTGACAGGGTCGTGTGGAGGCGACACAGGACGACAGGTACACGGGCTTCGCGCCTGGCTTACCGGGCGAGTCCCGCCGGTGCAGACTCATCCGCGGCAGGCGTTATCGCGCCGGGACATCAAGTGGATTGAGCCGACAGGCGTTGCGGAGGACCGCGGCATCCGTCCGCCAGATCCTCGCCATGAGGCATCCGCCACCGGAGCCACCTGCCTGTCGTTGGACCAACAAGTCGGTCGTGCTTGGCGCCGTGTACATCACGTCCGTCATGGCACCTGCGCTCTCGTGCGGGTTTGCGATAGCTCCCATCATCTTCGTGTCCATGCTCATCTGGGCAGCCGTCGGCTTTTTCCTGACAAGGTTCAGGATTCCGCTATAAATTACTAACTGAACAGTGTAATTATTACCTCGTTTGTATGAGAGACCACATAATAAGACCTCAAACCTAACGGCGTGTGCTCGGCAAGAGGGAGGAAGGAATAACTACAAGTATGATCGTCAAACTACAAGTATGATCGGCAGAAATTTGCAAACAAATGCGAACCCCTACTCCGCAACACTCTACCTCCGCAATAATCTACATCCACACCGTGTGTTGCGGCTATAAATGCGATGCCGAACAGCTTTTTGAAACTCTACAATCAAGGCGCCGTGGCGGATCCTACACAAGCCAGATTACAAATTATGCAACGGCGATGTGATGTGCGTACTGCTGTGGACGTGTCCGGAGATGATCCACACACATCTCGAGACCACATCACCTGCGAACCAGTCGACGGGTACCGGCCCGTACGTGAGGGCTGCCCGAGCTCCATCTTACTCCCTCCTCCTCTCTCTTGCTTCTTGCGATGGCACTTGAACAAGTTGTACATCTGGAAGACGCAGTCGGGGCGGGCACAGATGCACTCTCCAACGCGTAGAGGATCTTGAAGAAGGTCTCGAGCGTGACGCCACCCTTCCCCAACACTTGCAGACCACTCGCCGAGGTCCTCCCAGTGCTCCGTATCCGCTACGTGGTTCCACTTTCTCGAGGACCCGTCACGACTGCCGGGCCGATCGCACGCGAAGCATAGCCCGAGCCCCCCGTCTGCCGCTTCTTTACCATGCACAGCTTTGCCACAGATGGCGCGAGGACCCCGCGACATCGCCGAAAACCGGTGAATCTGCCGATTTCCAGCTGCTCACTAGATCACCGATTTCTAAGCCCTGCGAGAGAGATCCCTCACCAAACTTCAGCAGACGAAAGGAGATAACCTCAGCTACAGCCCCCCCCACCTGGTAGCAGCTAACTCTCCTGCTAGCACTAGATCAGGCTGCCTCTGACCGCCGCACCGAGTTGCTCCGCGTGCCAAAAATTTGCTCCCAAGCAGGTCTGCTGTGCTCACACAGCGCCGATTGACGGCGTTTCTCCTGGACTAACCCCTCGAGCTTTACTAACTCCGTGATCTGACGCGCTGTCGTAGTGTCTAGGGCGCGGTGGGTGGCTGCTATGGCTGGTTTTGTGAAAGTGTACGTCAGGGGGCTTTTCCGGGGTATGTGATTTTTGTTGATGAATACTGTGTGCGGATCCCCGGCGCAGTTGAGATTTTACGTTATCCGCCCATACTTCGCGCCTCGGGGACCGATTGGCTTCGTTCTTTTTCCTAAACCGTCCACACGTACCAAAGCTACAGGCAGGTACTTTCTTCATCACCAACGGTGTGCTTCACGGCGACAACTCGTCGAAAAGGAGCGAAAATTTCCAGAGGAGCTCTGCAAACCAAATAACACTGTGGCTGTGGACGGAGAATCACTGGGGGGCACGCGATGGGAAGGGAGTTCATGGAGGAAAGTCACGTCGAAGAGCAACACGGAGCCCCCACGTCCGAAAAAGGGTGGGAGGGGCCTGCAGGAAGAGGGTTTGGAGAGAGGGAGGGACTGCGGGTTTTGGCGCGGAGGCAGGACGAGAGCCACGGAAGGCAGCGTAGGATTAAGCGCTTGCGGAAACGTTGGACACCAGTTAGAAATTTTGGCGGATCTGTGCTATTTCACCCTTCCTCGCGTGTGTGCGAAAGACCTCCTTGCCGTCGCACGTTTTTTTTTTTTTGTAACCTGCGGGAGGCAGGGGTCGGAGGTGCGAGTGTACTGCCGCTTCCGAACGGACTGCGCTCAACGAAAGCGGGGGATGGCGTTGGCGTAAACACTGCTGCAGGTGAGGCGTGTCTCTGCTCGTGTAACCTTTGCCTATCTTCTTGCTTTCCGTGAGGACATTGGATGCCCTTTATACTAAAGTTCAGAGGCCCACCAAAAAACGCGGTCCGTTATTTCGGGGTCTCTTTTTCAACCCATTTTCACGCCTGGTGCGTATTCCGCCGCACGTTGTTGGCAAGGGGCATTTTATTTGAACCGTTTACGCAGCACTAGGGCAGAGCAGCGTTTGCTTGTGGTCGCGGACAGCAGTTCTGATCGGAATCTTAATATTCGGGCTTTCACTTGGTGGTGGGAATTAAAGAGAGATGCAATGCGAAACCTAAATCAGCCGCCTAAATTTAGACTGTAAATTGTTCACATGACGTGTTTGAATGCAGCAGTCGGTTCAACTCATGAGGACGTTATGATTACCCAACAGCTGGAAGACACATGCATGCAGCCGCCAAAGGAGTTTGTTGCGCACACACAAATAACTCACGGTTGCAGCAGCACACCTCACATCACCATGAGTGCTGTTGTGGGCGTAGTGTGCCGACAAGACTGCTAGCTGCCCTTTACAGCAGTAGAATAGTGGTGTTGAAACACACGCGGTCCCTAATTTACATTCTTTTTAATTTTTCTGTGGCTGCGTCGCGCGTTTGAGGACTACCCTGGAGGGCACTTGGAGGCGTTTTTTTTCTGCCAGCGTTGCTTATCCCAGACTACCGTTTTCGGTGCTGGCAACCTCTTGGTTGTGGAGCAGTCGAGCTTGAAGAATCGATCACAACAACACCTAACAAAATGTTGGTGATATTGAGAGCGAAGCATGATGTTGAGAGCGAGAGCCAAAAAAATTAAAATTCGGGTCCAGACGCCTCTTCCCATTTCTTGGGAAGTAGGGGGCGGGCTCTTCCAAGAAGCGGCGCAAATTGAAGGTCTCATCAGCAGCGTCACGAGGATATGCGTGTAATCGTCATCGGACGCTGCAGCTAGGAGCTAGACAAGTTGCTAGATTTCCCCAGATTGACTATTCCTGCCTCAAACTGTTGCAGGGCCGTTTGGCCTCGGGCGGTGGGCTCTGCTGTAGCTTCTGCTCGCCGCTGTAACTCCACATCGAGAGACTCCCACAGGATGACCAGGGTATCTGCTTGTAGCTACGGGCTGGCCCTTCAATTCAAGCTACACAGCAAGCTCCACCTCTCAGCAGTAGTCCAGCTGCAGCGCATCGCGCAATCTCGCTCTCAATCAGGTGCTTCGCTCTCAGCTTCACCAATATTCTGTTACCTATGTTCGCCGTTCGCCCCAGCCGCACTTTTTCCCGCACCCCATTCTTTTCTTTCTTAGGGCTGTGGGTGGGCAATGGTGGTAATCATGACCGCCTTGTTTGCGTCGTTTTTTTTTTTTGTTGCGTGTCGTCACTTCGGACAAAACTTTGATACCGGCGGGTGTGCATGGCACCGCGGGTGTGCGTGGCACCGAAACCGTGTGAAAGTATTTTTCAGACCACCTCATCAATGGTACAGTACCACGCAATAGAACACGCCCACATTCATCGGACCCACATGCCCCCCAACCCATCGACTTTATCACCGGGCATGTTTTCTCGTAAAGTGCATGGCACCACACCTCCGCCGTAGGCACAGCGACGTTTTTTCTCCGCTGGTGTCGGTTGCTGTTGGTGCCAATGAATAATCGATCGTTGGTCCCGGACTGCTGCATGGTATCAATTTGCTGTAATTCTTTCCTGCACCCCTATGGCTTGCCGCGGCAGACACGATAAAGGGACGGGGGTCGGTTGTGATGTGATGGCGTGTACGTTGACGATCTGGACTGCTGCCGCCCGTGCGGGGAACCAGCCACCGTAACCGTCATATGGTATCGCATTGTTCATGCGCAGGGGACGGTGTTTTGTGGTGGAATACAAGTATGACTCCTCCACCGTTTGTGTTACCTTCTTCCTTTGTGACTCCTGCTCATGCATGAACATTGGTACACACGACAAGAGGTGGAGACTGGCGCCGGTAACAGATGGGACGAATTCAGACATAAACACGCATGTCGTGTTGTTCGCCAGCTGACTAGCGCGATCATTGCTCATTCTGTGACACACACACGTGCAGTTCAGTTCAACTTATGTTTCTGTCTTACATCCGGAGAACAGCCGAGCCTCCCCCGTGACCCTTGCGACGGGGCGGGCTTTGGAAGTGTTTCCCGTTTCTCGCCGCACTGTGACTGGCTTTCCATGATATTGTTAAAGACACAGGCACACGCACGCATGCATCCACACACTGCTGTCGTGCAATCCTGCGCCCCCCGCAACAGGTACTAGTAGGTATAATAGGTTACCGTTGAAGGTGGGTACACCCTCTGACCTCTCTCGGCATCAAAAACCACAGCCTCAACAGCATGAGATTTTATGTCCCATCTTCCAACCCCCTCCCCCGTCTTCATTTTTCTGTTGTGTCTCTCTCGCTGGCTGGATCATGGCAGAGGTTTCAAGAGTCCGTTGGTATTCTTTTGATATCTTATGTCTTCGAGGGCAAGCAAGCGACGGAGTACGGTTAGCGCTGGAAATGTGTCCTCCAAAGCCTCCGCGGGAGGTGGAGGCGGTGGCGGCGGCGCGTCGGAAGACGCAGGAGACGAGGACGGCGGGGGCAGGTATGCGGTCGCGTTCGGGACGGCGTGCCGCTTCATGTCTCATTGTGCCAAGAAAACATGTTGTTCTCGTACGTAGAAGTGGTGCTTCATGCCCATACTGCAACAGTGACATATTCCCGCTGTTTCACATAATGGCATGCTCCGTTGTAGCAACAAAAATTTATTGTTTTTTTTCAAACCTGAATCTTGGAACGCTCCCGACGAGACGGTTCCGACGCCGCCATTTTCGGCATCGCCACTATTTCTGCTGCGGAGCCATCGAGCCTTGACAATCAGTCCAGGTGGTGTATTGTCTTACGTATGACAACCTACGATGTACCAGGTACGTGTGTAGACCTGGGGCTCCGACGCGATTTCTCGGGATTACAGATCAAACGCCATCCCACGTCCATGAAAGTTGAAGGCTAAATGCGTTCGCCTGTCGAGCCTCCTACCTTGTTGTTGATGTCCATTTCCTCCTCGATGGAATCGTTTTTTATGCCGAACAACAGCAGTCGCTGCGGTTAGCTTAGCGAGTCATCGTTGTATACTTGATGGCTGAGAAGCAAGAGAAACCTACAGCTAGCTATACCACATGTACTCAAGCGGTTATTTCAACGAGTTGAGTCTGTCTTGCCTTGTGCCTGGTTCCTCCTCGTTTGATCTTGTGTGTTTGTTGTCATGTCGCGAACAGATCTTTGAGGAACACTCCTTCTCGCCGCACTACCTCCAGGGGAGGGGATAATAACCAGGTGAGACAAGCATGCCTGTTTTCCTTTTTGTGTTTGGGTCAAGGAGACCCGTGTTTTTTCTCGTGTGAAAAGTGTACTCCTATACGTTTCGGCAAGTTGGGCGAGATGGCGCACACGAATTTTCGATCAATGCACGATGAAGAGACGAAGAAACAGAACATGCTTGTATCGACAGCAGTCCATCAACCAACCCGAATGTGTTGGTTCAAGAGGCTGCTGTGTATACATGGACGATCACAACATGTGGCGTCCTGCAGCAGCAGCGGAGGTGGCGGTGCTGCTGTAGCTCGTAGACTTTGTAGTCTACCACAGAGGTTACACTGCTGTCACCGCTCTGTCACAGAGGTCGGTCTACACTGCTGTGAGATCGGTAGGCCCGAGTGAGCTTTGGAAAGAGAAATGTAGATGGATGTTCTTATCAACTGACTCCCTGGTCAGGCTTTGATGGGTGCTAAATGAGAGTGAGCACAAGGGGCGAAGGCGCGCTTGTGTCTCATCTCAACAACAAAACAAAACAAAAAGCAAGCAGCAATAACACAGCAGGTTCCGAGGGTCTCCGGAGTAATGGCCCGAGTACCGGAATTTCGGGGTTCGGAACAATAAAACAACTACAGTCTCGCCTGCCAAATTATCTCCGCTACAACTCTGTGCTCATGTTCTCTGCTGAGTACCATCTCTTCTTTCTGTATTATGTCCACGGAAGGCTAGTTGCCGCAGTCGCACCTATGGTAAACTGTGCCTGACTACGTTGTAACAGTTTTCCTCGACACGCGGCGTGATAAAAGATTGATTTCCGGAAGTGTTTACCCCTTTTGGAGTACAGTTGGCCTGTGACCCCGGAAGGCGTTCGCGTCAGTTGGACCGGTACGAATGATAGAAGGCCTTAGCAGGTACCGGAGCAGTTTTTGACATAAAGACAACGACAGCATGAAAGTAGGGCAAGATGAAACATGTTTTGAAATTTAGGAAGGGTCCATGGGTTGCCCTCCTCCGGTGTGCGCCCTGCCGATACGTCAAAGAAAGGTACACCGAACGGTGTGCGCTGGCGCCAGAAGGACGAAAACACGCACACGTGCACTACATGCGATGCTCATTCAAAGATTGAAATTACTCGAAAGGCAGCACTGATATTATAGTGGCAACACTCTTTGGGGGGCCGAACCCGTGTATGTGGCAATATGCTGGGATGACTTGAGTTTAGGGGCGCAAGGCCGACCAAAGTCGGTGATAGCTGGATTTCTGCGAAATCTGTTCGAGTCGAGCGTCTTGGTATAGAAAATCTGGGGTAGAGCACTGTGTAAGTACAGGAGAGATTGTCTCTTACGGTATGGCGGGACCCACAACCGCCCCCCCCCAATCTAGACTTCAGTGGGTTGGCGCTGTTGGCAAAGCGCTGTAAGACACGCCACCCCAAATATAGCCCCCATAGTATGCGCTACCAAGACGCGTGACGCATGGATGCGTGGAGTGAAGATTGCTTACGGAAACCTCACAGGTTGAGTGATACAGGAGATTGCCGNAAGCATAGACACCTATTGAACCTCACAGGTTATTTGTATGGAGATTGCGAGACACCTAGACGTGTTGAGTGAGGATAGCTGCATACTGAAACCTCACAGATG